GCTGAAGGAATTTTACCGTGCCGGCCGGTTTTTCCGGCTTAACCGGTCCAAATCGACATACCGTCCGGTTTCATGCACCTTGAAGGAATGCAAGGTTAATTAAGCACTCATTCGAATCTACAAATAATGAAATATAAGAAATCAAACATCAACACATATGAAATATAACAATCGTATTAAGCCAAACATAGAGTTTTACGTTACTAGAACCCCTAGGGTTCATATACCTACGCAACTGAAGGAACTAGCCAACCATGGGGAAGGGTTTCTAGGCGATCATCGATTAAATTGAAGTCCCCAAAACACCACTCGAATCGGTGACACCGGTAGAGAAAACCGGCCATCGCTGTTTCTGACGCCGATTCCTCTGTGAGGGCTGGTCTTGCTTTATTTCAGGTAAGTTGACCTGTCGGCAGAACATCGGCCCTTCCTTGACCTCTCGCCTCCTCATCCTGAGTTCTACCTCTAGAGCTCTATTTATAGATCTTCAATTAGGATTTCTAGGGAGAAAACTCATAGATCCTGCATCATTAAGCCAATCAAAAGTCTCCAAACACGTGGCCTGCAAATCAGGAAGCTCCAGGGTAGCTTTCTGACGAAATAGAAGAGCTATGTAAAACGGTGCGAACGACGCCATTTTCCTTCGTAGGGCGTCATTTTGGGCGTCATTTCTTTAAGTTCGTACTCTCTTCAATTCCCGACTCCATCAACTGGATCTCGGTGTCCCCTACAACTCCCAAGTGGTCCACTGGTATGCTTTGACCTAAAAATGCACAAAATTCTAACAAAAGAGCATCAAACCCTCAAAAGCAATCTTAGGGTCATAGCACAAATTCAAGATATTGTGACGATAATGATATGAATGCACTTTGGGTCATAATACGAGAGTCTAAAATAATCAACTCTACGTGTCATCAATTCTCATCTTGTACATGTTTTGTTTTCATTAAGAGAATAATTTGTGAGGAAGAAAGTCAAACTAATGATCTTAGCTTGTTCAGTGCTTGAGAGTTCCCCAACCCTCGATAGTTATAACTTAATATCCTCATATATTCCTCGAATGTGGTAGGTTCTTTGCACCCAAAGAGCCCTCAGTCGCAGTTGGGTGCCTTGCATCACCCACCTTTGTTAAATGGGACTGAGATGTGGGAAATCGAACCATCGTTGAGTCAGAGTACTTTGACTTTTGGCACATAGTGGTCTTAGTTGTAGGTTTTCCTTTAGTATATGCCTTCTTGAGTCTTAATTGTATCCCATTAGTTTTCTTCTTACTAGTACTCTTTCCTGCTTATTGTTGTTGATCTGGTCCAATCTAATGAGTCGTCACACCTACCTAGTCGAATTGGTATTTGCTGAACAAGCGCTAATTTCTCGTGTGGCTTGTTATCGATCTTGCTGCTGGGATCGGAAGACTCCCATCTCCTTCTCGAGTGCTTCCTCATGGACTTCCAAGTCATTAAAGATGATTTTGTACGACAACCCAACCCTTAGAGAAAAAAAATGCCCTATTAGGTATAAAAAAACTCGATGAATGAGCTAGATTTTCATTCTCAAAAGATTTTGGTACACATATGAAAATGTTGAGCATATTCTTATACAAATGTATTTAGCCTTCATTTTTTATGTGACTTTTCATAGGTTGCAAAACATAACTATCTTTCTTGAAACTAACTCTTGTATTTACTATTCAGAACAATGTTGAAGTATAAGTCCAACTAATTATAGACTAACATTCTAAGTTTTGGTGCCATGGTTTTTGTTTTGGTTTTTATCCTTTTTAGTTTTTATGGTTCTTTTGGTGAAGAGACAAGTGTGGAGGGCCCTATACATACCAAGAGACAAAATAATTTCCTGTTTGGTGACACACCCTATTCTACACCAATCAAGCTTTTAGTTGCGTTAAGATAGAAAAATCCCCCCAACTCTGTTGGGAGCCAATTAGAGAAGCCAAAATCAACATAAAAGTGAGAGAGTGTATTGCATTAATCAGGAATTAAGCCACTTAATGAAAAGAAACCAAATCTTACTTTATAATCACTCTAAAAATTCATCTCAACCATAACACTGTACGTCAAAATGGAAATAACGCTCTGAAAAAATGTTTCAAGAGAATATCCCCCCTTTTAATTAATTAATTAACCCCTTAATCCTCACCTAATCACAGTCCAAGTCCCTCTATATAGTCTCACTCTGATTTTACACTTTCCCTCCCACCACTACCACTCCCATTCCTTTTCCCATTCCTCTCCAACACAACAAACAAAAGCAAAGGCAAAATGGGTCATCGAAGTTACATTTCGCCCGCTTCACCAATGCTCTTTGTTTGCTGCTGCTGCCTTCTATGGCTCTTCCCGATTCTCGCCGCCGGCATCACAAGGCACTACAAATTCGATGTACACACACATTTATCTTAAAACCTCACACCCTTCTTATCTTTGCATGCTTTAAGCTCCAAATGTGCTTTGATTTGCTGACATTCTGATGATGCTAAATTGTTTCGGTTATCGAAAGATCAATTACACGAACCTGACGAGGCTCTGCCACACGAGAAGCGTCATCACCGTGAACGGGCTGCTCCCTGGACCTCGACTGATCGCCAGGGAAGGCGACCGCGTGATCGTTAAGGTCGTCAACCACGTTTCCAACAACATCAGTATTCACTGGTACGCGTATGGAACAAACATTTCTTCGTTGTTTTTTCTTTCTCAATTGCTCGTTTTTCGTTTTGTGTTTCGAGTAATGCTGATGAATCGCGATCTACGAAATTTTTTACAGGCATGGGATAAGGCAGCTGACGACCGGTTGGTCCGACGGACCGGCTTACATAACCCAATGTCCGATTCAAACCGGGCAGTCCTACACCTACAACTTCACCATCACGGGCCAGAGAGGCACACTGTGGTACCATGCGCATATCTCCTGGCTGAGGTCCTCTGTTTACGGACCAATGGTGATCCTCCCCAGGAAGAATGAGTCCTTCCCTTTCCCCAAGCCCTACAAGCAGATTCCCATCCTTTTTGGTAATATGGAACTCTTCTTCTGCTTTTGTTGTTGTTGTTGTTTTTTTTTTTTTTCCTCAACTCATCAGGATTTTTTTTTTTCTATGGTGAACTTGAAATCAGGGGAATGGTTCAATGTGGATCCTGAAGCTGTGATTGCTCAAGCTCTTCAGACCGGCGGCGGCCCGAATGTGTCCAACGCTTACACCATCAATGGCCTCCCTGGCCCTCTCTACAATTGCTCTTCTGCTTCAGGTCTATTTCTCAATCAATATCGAAATTGCAGGAAAAAAGCTTCAATTTTTCCTTCTTTTCTCAATATCCCCTGTTTTTCTTTTTGGGTGATCCAATCAGAGACATTCAAGCTGAAAGTGAAGCCGGGAAAGACTTACATGCTCCGGCTGGTCAACGCTGCACTCAACGACGAGCTCTTCTTCGGCATCGCCAACCACTCCCTCACCGTCGTCGACGCCGACGCCGTTTACGTAAAACCCTTCAAAACAGAGTGGCTTCTCATAACTCCAGGGCAGACCACCAACGTACTTCTCAAGACAAAGCCGCATTCCCCCAACGCCACTTTCCTCATGGAAGCCAAACCTTACTTCACCGGACAGGGCACCTTCGACAACTCCACCGTCGCCGGGATCCTCGAATACGCTCCGGTTAAGAAGAGCACCGCCGCCAAACTCCCCGTGATGAAACCCACTCTGCCTTCGATCAACGGCAACTTCAGCACCCCTCAGGTGGCCAATTTCACCGCCAAGTTCCGCAGCCTGGCGAGCCCCAAATTCCCGGCCAACGTCCCGCAGACGGTGAGCCGGAAATTCTTCTTCACGGTGGGGCTGGGAACGTCGCCGTGCCCGCAGAACACGACGTGTCAGGGGCCGACCAACACCACCAAATTCGCGGCCTCGATCAACAACGTCTCGTTTGCTCTGCCTTCCGTGGCGATGCTGCAATCGTACTACGCGGGGAATTCGATCGGAGTTTTCAGCTCCGATTTCCCTCAGAACCCGGCGAATCCTTTTAATTATACGGGTCCGGCGCCGAACAACACCAACGTCGGGAACGGGACGAAGGCTCTGGTTCTGGCGTTCAACACGAGCGTGGAGGTGATTCTGCAGGACACCAGCATCTTGGGAGCAGAGAGCCACCCGCTTCATCTCCACGGGTTCAATTTCTTCGTCGTCGGGCAAGGGTTTGGAAACTACGACCAGAACAAAGATCCGGCGAAGTTCAATTTGGTGGATCCGGTGGAGAGGAACACGGTAGGTGTTCCCGCCGGCGGGTGGGTGGCAATCCGATTCCTGGCGGATAATCCAGGTGGGTTTTTTCCCCTTTCTTTTCAAAACTAATTTTGGGTTGTGTGTTGAATTGGAATTGGGTTTCTGATTATGGGGTTTTGGTTGCAGGGGTGTGGTTTATGCATTGCCATCTGGATGTGCATACGAGCTGGGGGCTGAGAATGGCGTGGATTGTAATGGACGGAGCTCTGCCGAACCAGAAGCTGCAACCGCCGCCGGCCGATCTTCCCCAGTGTTAGCAACAGCACTCCATTTCCTACTCTTTCCAAGTGTTTCTTCTTAATTCGTCATCTTCCCATTTTGGGGCTTCTTGGTTTCTTATTTGGTTTTCCTTTGTTTTTGAGTTCTTGTAATGTACCTTTGCTGCACTGTTTTTTGCCTTTTTCATTTTCCTTCAACAATCAACACCGGAGACTGTTAAAAGAGGCAGCAGAAGCCTAGAATCTTTGTTGTTTGTACCCTTTCTTAATTTAATAAGATTCTTTTGCGGCGTGCATATTTGAATAATAAATATTGATTCTTCTGATTGGGAATCAAACGCACCAGTGGTCTAGTGGTAGAATAGTACCCTGCCACGGTACAGACCCGGGTTCGATTCCCGGCTTGGTGCATTTGTTTTTCTTCTGCTCTTTTTGGCCTACGGGAGAAGTTTGCTTTTGGTGTTCTTGTCTTCTCAGAATGAGTTCCATTGTTCCAAGTTCCAACTTCCAAGCTCCCATTTGTGGTACAAATGAAAAATCAAGCGACAGGAATCTGAGAAAAATAGTTTCTACAAAACAAGAGTATTATTTGGGGCCAGAAACTGCGGTAAGCGAAAAACAGATGGCTAATGCTTGTGAGCAGTAGCAGCTCGAACACAAGTGAATTTTTACAGTTGACAAGTAGGAGGGGAAGTTAGGTGTGCAGCAAATGATACTACTGCAGCATGAGAGAAGAAAAGTATTGCTCGAATTCTTGATCAATGGTCGGCTTTCTGGCCTGTGGCTGAGGATCTGCATACAAGAAACAGAAAAAACACACAATAACATCCAAAATAGGCACAAGGAATCACACAAAGCTAACTATAGAGATGCTTCTGAATTCAGCAGCTTTTACCTTGGTCAACACTCCATCTTCCAGATGAAAGGACATAAACATGAGAGTTCGCTCCATTCAAACCAAGAACATCATCCACTTCGTCGTCTTCGAGAGGGATATTTCCTCCCTTGTAGTATTGTTGAGCATATCCGAGCATTCCATCCTTGTGATCATATGCTTCAAGGCTGTCATAATAAAGATGTGGGAGTTCCTTCCCGTTACTAGGATCTGAAGAACACCGAGGATCCTGTGTAGAACTCTCGGAAAAACAATTCAACGACGAAGTAGAGGCTAGACTGCTGCTCGGCCATGTATTTGTGATCTCTGATTGCGGTTTAGCTTCACTAGATGCCATGGTACAGGGATGTGAATCGACAACAAAGCTGTTGCTATCGTTAGCAGATTCATAATCAGACATCATGTTGTCGATGGAATTCCCATGTTGCTCGGCATTGTCCTTGAGTACATGATTGATTGTCTGTTCCACTTGATTTTTCTCATCACCAGTATGAACCCAACAATTATGCTTTGGTAGGGGAAGACCCAATTGCTCGGCATTCAACTTCCTTTTCCTGTCAATACAACGATGTGATGTTCAGTGCAGTACTCGGAATCATACAAATCAATGAATCAGGGGACTCAAGTACCAAAAGCATAGCAGCTTGGGCCATTGACTGCTACAGCACAAATGGGGCAGCCACTAGCCAGAGCTGGAAGGCCAATTAGCAATTCATATCAACCAAATCCAACGTCAATTTAATGAAAACCTCATTGTTGGAAGTATGGTAAGAGAATATGATACACTAACAGGCTTATCCCATTCCCTACGAGCAAGAAGTACTTTTAATCAATTCAAATCTGGTTAGATATTTTCAGCCAAATAATACCATGGGGTCAACTCTTGTGCATTCTGACTGGGAAAGAAGGGTTGGAGAGAAAGGGTTTACTTTAAAAACACTCGCAATTGCTTGAACACGACAAGTGAAACTAGATCTCGATCATTAACCTCCAAATCGCATTATTTAAATCTTACCCACCCAGCTGAACCAGAGAAAACAAACACTATAAACTTGGCAGCTGTTGTAGCTGTGATGACACACAACAAACAGCACAAGACTCGACAATTTTACACCAAATCAACGGATCTCAACTCTAAACTCCGACCAACTTGCGCCCATGAACTCTGAACTAAAAAAACAGAGGAAAACTCAGGAAAGGATGCAGAAGAGTAAGCAAAGCTTCGATCTTTCGAGGATAAAACTTGAGACCCACGAAACCTAACCTGTTGAGATAAGATGGGTTATCGTTATCTTCTGCATCCTGCATCATCGGGACGAGAAAAGACGACATGCTGAACCCCTCACAAACTGGGGAAGTGCAGCCTCCTGTGTTAGACTTTCCTTTTTCACTTTCTCCCCTTCCCTGGGTTTCTTTTTCTTGTCATTTTTTTAAGGATGCCCAAAGATTTATAAAATCCGTTTATGCTTTCTGAGTACATTTCCCTTCTGTCCTCTAACTGGCGAACTATTAGCTCCCTATTCACAGCGGCAAGAGCGTGGGAACACGTAGGGATTCGATTCTGACCACGTTGCATGTCGAATGCATCCAACGGACGTTTTGGTTGTAAGATGATGGCAGAGCGCGTGGGATGTGGTGCAGAGAAGACCATGCGGTTTCCACGTGGGCTTCATCCCGACTGCGGGATACTATTAGTTCAGCTGGCGGGACCATTGTCGTTATTATAAACTAAGGGGTTGTTTGGATGAGGAATTGTAACGAGTCAATTTGACACTGATATAATTGTATCAAATTGACTTTTTCGTTAGCAAAAAAAAAATTGGATGGATCAATTTGCCTGAGGTATTTTGAATTGATCCGTTTTGAGTCAATTTCAATTTGCCTGAGGATCGGATTGGATCCAATGGATTGGTACATTGATCTATATATCCAAATGACATCTAAGTCTTAGACCATTATGTAAACTTCTGATTGGCTTGCATGTGAGGAAGACAAAACGCGATTTATTGTTCTATTTTTGTCAAGGGTTTGAGCTCCACCCATAGATACTAGGATTTCAAAGAGAGAGCCACCCTTTCGCTTAATGTGTAAGTGTGTCTTCTCTCCTTACTCTACTCTATCTTGTTTTTGCTTCTCAATGGCACGCAATCTTGTTGATCTATGATTGAAGACGACCAAATAAGGGTCGGAGCCCATCTAGTTAAACTCTTCTGTTTTTTTTATATAAGGGTAATATAGGTTTCTCTTTTTGTGATTAAGGTACTACTTAAGGGATTCGAACATGAGACCTCCAGGTTCAGACTAGTGGTATTACCCATAGGCGGAGGGAGGCCCATTGGGCCTTGTCCTGGGACGGGTAAATTTCGGAGGAACAAAAATATGTCATATATATATGTAATTGGTGATGTAAAACAACGCCTATAGGTAGTATTAGAGTATTTTTGTCACTACAGCAAAACTCATTACTTATTCATAAATTAACATAAAATTAATTTATTATACTATAAACGAATTCTAATTGCAATAAAGACCTAATCGGATCTCTTTTCTCCTTATGCCTATTCGATTTTTTTCCCCAACAACCCTGAAATTGTCTAGCGACAACGACAATTCCACTAGTTTTGATTCTACGAATTACAATTGCAAATGTAAAAAGAGCATTTTTCAGCTTTGAGTTATATTAAGAACAAGTTTCCAAGTCGATTTGCTAATGCTAATTTAGTGAGATACATTGAAAAAGACTTATTTAATAGTGTAGAGGACGAATGTTTTTGCGTTTCTTTAACAATATGAAATCTCTCCGTGGTTGTTAAAAAGAGGACAGGGGTGGTTTGAAATGCTGGCTCCGCCACTGGCATTACCACTAGACCAAACTCTTGTTCGTAACATGTGTTCTACATCTTCTTTCTAAATCCATCCAAATGATCAACAAAATTATATCAACAACCTAATTTACCTTGTCTTAGTTGAAGGTTGCCTACTTAATTGATTTAGTAACTTCCGTCATTATCTGTGTTGTTAACAAAATCACAAGGTGATAGAGTGAACCAAAGACGAAAGATCCCCTGCCTCTTCCCCTTCAAGGGACCTGCTCAGAGTAGCAGCATAACAAGAGAGCCCCATGTTGTTGGTTATAAAAAATTTCCAGTTCGGGAAGAACAGTAAGAACCCTTTGGTATAGTATCTAAACAAAAGTCGGTGAATTACATTCTACAATTCTTTTTTTTTTTGTCTCTTCTACTTCCCCATTTGGCATGGCTTTCCTACTTTAATCCTGCTTACTGTACAACCCGACCAAAAAGAGAAAAAAAAGTGCCTTCCTTCAGTGTCATACTGTCATTACTGCAAAAATTCCTCTTTCTGTTGAACTGCGACGAGCTTCATTTGGAGTTATCAGCCCATTTCATTAGCTATTCTGATGACTGATGTGTATGTGCCAATGACAGCGCTCAACAAGCCCACAAGTACGCTGAAACCACAAGCTGCCAGCTGGTAGAAGATGATTACAAACAGTTTTCACGAAAACAGGTTACAAACTTCAACCGGTGTTCACCAAAATGAGACATTTTTAAGTAGATGCAGGCTCGAGTTATGGAACAAATTCATTTACCTCTAACTTGGTCAATCTGTCCTGGAATATGCTGACATAACAAGCACATGGAAGGACGATAGCCTGTAATTTGAAAAATCACAGATAAAAACAAGATTGAGACTGGACAGAATTGCTCGATGGTTCCGATTCGGTTCAAGGAAAGTTGCTCACCAGAAGCATTGCAAGGAAGGATCCACAGAAGGCCATCACAGAACCTGGAAAATTTTCCAGAGAAAGATCAAATTTCTTATGGCTTTTGGAAAGAAAGGTCACTCCTATACTTTCGGCAGGTAGTTGCAAAAAGCTTACCAAAGAATGGAACTGCCAGAGCCACAAATAAAGTTGAAAGTACTAAAACCGTTCTGATTCCTATTGATGCACCGTAAGATCTGAACCTGCCAGAAGGGATGAGTTCTTCTAAGCTCAACGCAACTGGCATCATGGTCAATGCATATTTTGTCATTGGGTTCACAACCTGCAGCAAGAAAGAAGGATACTTTAATTATACATAATTGGTTTTCAGGATAAAAAACTCAACTTTCAAGGTCAGAAGGGCAAGAACTCTACTGCTGTCCAGACTGCGACATTGGAGGAAACAAGCTGTTCTGGCATGTTCAGGGTAAACTGAGATTTCACTGCATCACCAAACAAGAGATACCCGCATATCGCCACTGCAGTGTACATGAACCAGCAGAAAACAAAGCTGCAAAGTCGAATAATAATCAAGTTGTGTTAGATAATTATATATATTTATAAACGACGAGGGATTCCAGTTCTAATCGTCTTCACCTGACAATCAAAACCGAAGGAAACTTTGACGGTTCTCTCATCGAGTAGTAAATGTTTGGGAAAACAGCATGTCCAGAGAAGCAATATCCATATATACCAACTGCAAAAGGTAGATTTCCGAGGTCAATAGCTGTTCCACTTGAATGCATTCCAACTTCATTGGCCATCCCACTCCACACCAAGCAGCCAGCCAGTAGAACCGATGCACCTACTCCACCAACTTTTTCCACAAATAACACACACAAAAAAACCATCAGTTGGAAGACCGTACCTCATCTTTGATTCCAAGTGAGTGGAGGAGAACAATGAGAAGTTTGGAAGAAAACCTGAAAGGTAGGAAAGGAGGGTAAGGTCTCGGAGCCAAACAGTTGGAAGAACTATGAGAGTTGCTGCAATGGGGAAGATTCGTTGAGCGTCGAGATGCATTCCAATCAAATCCATGCTTGTATTTGGGAACAATGTAGATAAGTTATCACTCGTCATGATTACATACTCCACACAAGCTGCCTACAATAAAAGCTCCTTCCATTTAGTGCAGAAAATTCAAGAGATCAAGATTTCCACCAGAAAGGAAAACGAGACTGTAATACTTACGTATAACTCGAAGTAAAGAAGAATCTGAAGTTAACAAACAAACAAAAGTCAGTCAATTTTACACAAGCAGCCATGGCTGAAGGAGCATTGTATATACTTCATTTGCTTTTTTGTAGAAATTCATGTCAGCATTATATACTCACAGACACGAGTAAGCGACCCGGTAATCCGAAAGCAGCCTGAGCAATGTCAGGATAAGTGCGAGTAAGAGGAGAGCTTTCCAGACATTCCTTCAGCAAGCTTCCAGTGTAGCAGCAGATGATCCCGAAGAGTAAAAGTATGAAGAGGCTAAGCCACCCTCCTTGTTTGACTGCATATGGAGTAGCAAGCAGCCCTATACCGCATAAAATATTGATCCCTACAACCTCAAACGAAAAGGGGAAACTAAAACAGTCATTACTTGAAAAGTTAGGGAGAAAATCACTATAATAGTGTGTGTGTGTGTGTGTGTTTTTTTTTTTTTCATTTACCATTGAGAACCGCTTGTGCAAACGAGCTTTGCTTATTATCGTCCTCCGCCGGTGCTTGTGAATGTGGAGATGCAGATGTTTGCCCCACGGGAGATGGGCAGGAAATAACTAGTTTCCCCAAATCCCGCTTTGGGATCAAGGATTCTTTCAGGAAAGAATCCGATTCGGAATCCCTTAAGTTTGAAGGCGACAACCCATCAGTGTCTTCCTTCAGGAAGGAAATCGAGGAAGCAGCAGCAGCCACATTGGTGAACATGTCCATTGATGCCCTGAATCGTTCGACGATCCAAAAAGAGACAGCATTTAATAAAAATTGTATGGGGCAAAGAAACAACATTATTCAAGAGAAGGAATGTGTGGTTCTGTGAGAACCTGAAGCTCTGAGGCCAGGTTGGAGTAGTGAGTTCCATGCTGTGGGAAGAATGGTTTGCATTGGGTGAAGATGAAGTGCTGCTCCCCGAATCTGAGCCATTGCTATCGTCGTCACAAGTTCTCTCCGCTTGGTTTTCTTCATCGTCGGTCTGGAACTGATCTTCCCGATCAGGTCCCGTCCCCAGATCCTCCTCGTCAATCTTCATTATTTGTTTTTAATTTCTCAGTTCGACATTAAGATAGGGAAAGCGAGAAACCCGAAAGAAAGCAGAAACCATAGAACAACTGAACAAAGCATGAACAAATAGGCTTGTTTGTCGCATGGAATTACACGTATAGAAATATCATATACGCTATTTCCTCGGAGATGGATACCAATCACTCCTCATTCTCCGAGTTCCCTCCGCAAACATATATCGGAAAATAGAGAAGAAAATATATATATGGATAACTCCTATACTCCAAGTTCTCCCACCACCATTGATCTAATCTAACAGTCATTATTAATTCTGCTAAAATTAATTATTAACCTAGAAATATAATTATTAACTTCTTCCCTTAAATAATTATAGGTACTTTTAGTGGTGTACAACAGTTTGCAACGGTCCGGACCGGACCAAACTAACGAGAACCGCGATCCATTAGTGAAAGACATCTTAGGACCAAGGATCGAACCAACATTAAGTTCTCACTAATTCATTAACAAAAGTAAAAAATCAAACCTATTCAAGAGAACGAACTCCTAAAAAATAGCCAAATCATACATAAATAATTACAACAAATTTCCTTTTAGGTTTCCTTTGTTATTGCTTCATCATCACCCGCTTCATTATTTTCACTAGTAATAACGTCATCATCTCCATCACCTACTCCACCATCTAGCCCATCAATATATTTTTCTTTTCTTCTCAACATTGTAATGATCCCCGACTCTATTGCCTTCACTGTTGACAGTCTCATCCCTCTTCTAAATAGCATCAGCATCTATATTACCGGCTCCACTACCTCCACCATCTATAGGCTTTTTCTTCATTCAAAACTTAAATGCAATGATAAAATGCTTGCGAGTTGAAATATCATTTTCAAGCCATCGGAATTTACCTCGTCGAGCTCACGATCATCGCTGGCGTTATTTTTTTTTTCTTACTCATCCTTATGACATGAGTACCCATATTGTCATGGTTTATATCATAAAATCAAAATTTTCCTATTGGTTAACTTGGATTATATTAATTTGGATCTAAAAAATTGTTGCAGGATCGAATTATGATTTTATATTTGTCTATTTAGTTTTAGCTTGGTGGATCTTAAGAAATTATAAATATATTATAAATAATTTATGAAGTTTCTTAATATTCGGAAATATTATAAGCATTGCATTCTAAAGTTAAAAGGACTCGTATTAATATTATTATAGTTGAATATGGATAAAACTATTATTATTATTATATTGTTTACCGTGGGTTTATTCATGTATTGTATACTAAAACTATAAGGACACTTATTATGTTTATCATAATAGTTTAATTAGAAGTCAACTTATTAATTACATGGCGGAAAATCTATGCAAAAAATGATAATTTTTTTAATAATTAGAATGAGGAATGACAAATATATCCTTCCTAAAAACACTAGGCTGGAAATTCTGAATGAAACATGTTCTCGTGAAGAACTTCTATAAATTAGTGGTAGGATTTTGTAGTTGAGAACAAAGAGTCTAGACAGCGTAGTGCTGAACAATGTAGCTCTTACTGTAAGAATTTTTCTTTGTAGTACAGAGCTGAGAATTCGGAGTCAAAAGCTTGGTTCAGTATTTAATATAGTAATTAAGTAGCAACAATGTGAAAGCTATCAATTCCTTGCAAAAAAAATGGAGAACAATTTGATAGCTCAAAGTAGGGAACTTTGCTGAAGTACTATTACTTGATTTGGCAATAATAAATCACCCGAATACCAGAGAGCTGCTGGGTAATTGCAAAGAGAGCACTCCATTTACCAAAATGCTAGTGTATAACCTAACATTATGTATCAAATGGAGAGCTGACAAAAGCCCTCAGGGTCCATTTGATTACTGATGTTTGCATAAAATTGTTCCTATCCTTCATAAATCGTCTAATTCTTTTGTTAGAACACGACTATTCTTTTGTTCCTTCCTTACAGGCACATTAAGCCATTCAATGAAATCTATTCACTCTAAAAATTCTAACTCCCAAAGGGAGAGGTGAAACTAGAGATGCATGCGGATTCAAATATCTGTAACTCTCTGGGGAGAAAGAAAAAAAAAACAGACTTCACAATATGAAATTTGAAGAAGCACCTGTCCCTTGTGATGTTAATGCTACAGATGCTACGAAGGTGGCCAAGCTGGACAAAACACTGGCATACTATACTTGTAGCTCCATTTTGGACAACCGAATCCCCTGCCTGAAACCAGCGATACTTCAATAAGGTAAAATCGGTTGGCATATGAAATTCAAACTTCAGAGTATCAATTTTTAAAAAGTATACACACCTGAATTTAAGGTAGTTATGTCCTCGATCATCAGTAAAGCAGTCAGCAGATTAACAATGATTAAAGCAGCATACTCGATCGGACTATCTATATCGACTTTGAGCCAGACAGCCTCCTGCTTCGTACATAAGGCTCGCATGTCCCTAACCATCACAAAGTTGAACCTCTTAATAAAGCAGCCAGAAAATCTGCATTTGATATTCTCTAGTCAAGCCTGCTGCCAGTCAATGCGAGTGTTGCTAAGTGACATTCACTAATCTTTTCATTGCATTTCTTCCCCAACTCAACAGAATTGGCAAGTTCATCCATTTCTATTCCAAAACTCAATGCTTCTTCAACATACAACTAGATGGCTTTATTCCGGGCCTAAGAAGTACCAACAGTCTAGGAAGTTTTCATCTCAGGAAAAGAGAGAATCGGGTTACCAGAAGAGGGAGGAGGCAGAATGATACGATCACCGGGAGAAAATTCTTTCACTGTTCAGCCCACAGAATACACCACTCCAATCTCTTCGTGTCCTCCAACTGCAGGCACCGGAGACCGTAAATCACATACTCCTACTCCAACAATTCAGAAATATGAAATGCCTGGTACAAAATTAGACTCTATAGGTCAAATATATGTGCGATTATACCTTCAATTCGAAGGATTAATCAGTGCAGCTAGCATCCTACCGCAAATATCGTTCTCTTTCACTTCCACCAGCAACAACTCGACCATCCTAAGTGAAGTGAGCACACTTACACAACTATCAGGTCAGTGCAATGTCAACCGTTAACCTAACTTCGTGCACCGAAGTTCATATAGCGGGTTACCTAACAACGTGAATCGGGCGGGGCGTGCTGGTTGTAAACAATGGCCTTGGATCGCGGAGCCATGAGTGCTACCAATCAATACAGCCCTGCCGAGATGGGAAGAATCAATACAGCCAATCAATTGGTTAGGAACAACTGAAATCAGATCCTCTTCGAGCCGCCGAAGCTTATCTCAAATGAAACCTACAGAAGATCAGACATGGGATCAAAGTGGAGGCCTGAGTGAGGGGTGACTTACACAGTTACACTCCGGGATTAGAGGGAAAAGGAAGATCAGAAGGAATTTAGCCGCCGTGCAAGTCCTTCAAGGATGTAGTCGAGGAAACGTCTTCTGCAACACTATTTCAGTCCCTCAATCACCGAAATCCACTCTGTCGATGAGCTTTCTTCTGTCCCTGCTACAGTCTCCCAATCACAATTAATCTCGTTGGAGCTCTCGAGTTTCACCAGCTCTCTAAAGCCGCGAGCAGAAACGACAAGAAATTGATTGGTATCCAGCGCCTGATACAACCACGGGGCATGCGGAAGAAATCGACCGATCGGCCTCCTTCATCTTCGGCATCTACACACAACCAGCTAATCCTCTGGTGGCAGCACCAGACGGTGATGGGTCCCGACGGCAATGGTGAATCGCATTCGCAGGAGTCAAGCCTAGAGTGCGAAATTGGGAAGGATGCAAAGTTGTCAACCCGCGGGTACACCCGGGTTGACCCACTTTGACCCTGACCCGGTGAGAAAAACGAGTCACGCGCATTTATCGGATCGACCGCTATAAGGTACTCGGTTGGAGGTCAAATTCTGTTATTTTTTTTTTGGTTATCGAAATGCGCTTATTTTCCGATTTTTCTTTTCGCCTAACTCAATCTTTGGAATTCTAAGTTGAACATTTGAATATTAATGTTATATAAGTGTGTGTGAATTTTCACTATATGTTGTATCTAAGTACGACATGTTATTTTGGTGGAATATTATATGTTATAATTCATATGTTAGATGATATTTGATATAATTTATCAGGATAAGTACAATATAATGACTACTTTCATATTTCCGGGCTAAACCGGGTGACCCATTGACCCACTAGCTCGATCGGGTCCGGGTCAACCCGCGGGTTGACAAATGGCAACAACTAGGCTTGAGGCTTGACAACCTTGACCGACCTGCCAGCTACGCACCCGAAACCGCCCAGATAGTGACCATTTTACCCATCCGACGTAGGTAAATGGCGAATTTGAGTATTGCCCGAAATCTGTGAGTACCAGATAACGGATAGCGATGGATGTCGTGGTATCTGCTCCGACACCGTCCTGTCTTCCAAAACGACGTCGTATTGGATCTCAGTATATAAATTAAACAAAGGACAAAGAAACCTCATTCCCTTCCCTACTGTCTCTCCATCGATCCCCTAATCATTCATTTCGCTTAAAATTTCCACCGATTCCCCATGAATTCCTCTCTATCCAGATTGTTTATACTTCGATAATTCCCAGTAGGCAATCATTATCCTGCAAATTGGCTAATTGGAGGCTAGTTTTGCTGGCAATTTCTTCGAGAAACAAAATGCAGAACCCTAAAATGCTCGTTTTCTCCCTTTCCTTCCGTATTCTATTGCACCTTCTTCTTTCTTCTCATATATATCAACCCTGCGATTAATTTTAGGATTACTGGTCAGTCTCAATACTTCCTTATTTCATTACCTTCATTCTCCTTAGAGGACGGTTGAGGTAATCATTAATAAAACTTCATTTCTTTTAGTTTATTACTACATTAGCTAGGTCTTTATCAATCGAGGAATGCTAATGTGATTTTCTTTGTTTTGACTTTGTTGGAGTTCATCAGGTTCGCATCAGGCATCATCTCACCATCTACATCTGGTCAACAAATCCTCGCTCTCCATATTACAAGTTAGGCATAGCCTTACTCCAAATCAACTACGGATTGTAATTTTGTAATCTGTATGTGTTTGGACTAAGGGTCTTGGACTAGGGATTGTGCAGGTTGCATGTGTCGATTGCTTGTGTGCTCTGTTTGAGTCGTGGTGGTTGATTGATTGCTTTTGTTTTATAGTTTATGTAGATGGACAGTTCAATTGAAAACGACGCTTTTAATGTGAATGATCCTCCTGTGCTTACTAATCAAAACTCTGATGGTAATGGTAATGGTAATGGTTATGGTAATGTTAATGATAATGGTAATGCAAATAGTAAAGGTAATGTTAATGGTTATGGTTATGGTTATGGTAGTGATGTCTTGGCAAATGGAAATGAAAATGTTGAAGTCATTCTTTAGGAAGATCGTAAATTGATCTCTAATGTCTGACCACATTTTGTTATGGTGAAGTTTAATTGGGAAATTAAAGCTAAGTGTAGGTACTGTAAAAAATGACTAGGTGGTGATACTAGTAATGGAATCTCCCATCTGAGGAAGAGGAACTATTATAAAACTTGTACCCAAAGAAAGATACATGATGGTAGATAAAGAGTTCTTGGTCTTGATTACAAACCAACTAGAAAACCCCTCTTATCTCCTACTCAATTCAATTCTAATGTGTCTAGGAAGTAGTTGTGTTCTATGATTATGGTGCATGAGTATCCCCAAAACATTGTTGAACACTTGTTCTTTGCAACCACAGTTCACTGTGCCTTGTAGAAGTACAGTAAAGAAGGACATAATGGGGTTATATGGGATTAAAATGCAAAGTTTCAGAAGGTTCTAGATGGTCATATTGGTAGAGTTGCAGGGACTACTGATATGGGGACTGCAACCAATCCAAAGAGGGGGTTTACTGGCCATTTTACTAACAATTCTTCTGGTCATATTGGTCGATCTAACCCCAAACTGGTTTGACCCAATTAATCCGGTTCAACCAAATCCCAACGATAGTATGACAAGATAGATGGGGAGGAGGATGAGGAAGAGGCGATGGTGGTGAATGGTAGGAGACATGGTAGTGAGGAAGGGATTTGAGAAATTTGTTTCATAAAAAAAATCATTTGTTTGTGTTTATTTGAGGGGTCTTTTCTTATTTCATAGTTTTGTTTTCATTTTTAAATTGTAAATAATGTATAAAAAGTATTCGAATTCGAATTTTTAATAATTTTCATGATGGCATCACACGTTGATTGTCAGTCATTGTTGTGTCATCAAACTTGATTGTCAATCCACAGGTAGGGCCAACATAGTTCAAATAGTGTAAATTGCAGGCCAGTATGGGGATTTTAGAAAATCCTGGACAAATTAGTGTATTAGTATAAAGTTCAGGTCATTTTAAGGTACAGACCATTATTTTTCTTAGAAAATTACATTCTAGAAATTACAAATTGAATTTCTATTAATTTCATTCTCTCCCTCAATTATGCTTCTTCGTTCTCCTCTCTGCCTTTCACTAGCGACCTATCTGCCTTCCTCTGACCTTCTTCTCGATTCTTTTGTCTCCTCACAGACATACTAGTAACAGTTCAAACGAACAAATACCACTGCAAAAAAATACCAATTGAGGAAAATAACACCACTATGAAAACAAAACCAGTACTACTATGAAAATATAAGAAAAAATCAGTACCAAATTGAAACACCACCACTATAGAAAACAATGCAAAAGAGAAAATCAATACCAGTTTAGAAAAAAGCAGTACTATTATGTGAACAAAACAAAAATCATTACTATTCATAAAATCCAACCTCCCTTTGATAAATAATATCACAATAAAATAACTCATATCTGAATTTTGAAAAAAATACAAAACCAGTACCAGTGTATTTGAGAGGAAGATAGAATGAGTACCAACATATATAATAAAAACCACTACTAGAATAAAAATCAGATATACGTTCGAAAAAAAAAGAAGAGAAAACCAGTACCAGAAAAAATAACCCTATAACACTAGACCAAACTCATATTAGGGATGACAATCAAACCCATGATCGCATGTACTCGACTGTCCCCTACCCAATGAACGAGGGAATCCCCGCATAGACTTGATATGGGACGAGTATGGATAAAACTCACAAAAAGTTTGATGTGTATGAGGCGAGTATGGTTCTAGCCTCCATTGCCCCATACTCATACCCATACCCCGCCCACCAAGAACATTTCTTCACATCTAAAAAAATACATGGATCAAATTGTAACCTATTAATGATAATGAAGGTAACTCAAGAAAATTGTAAGCTAGTTCGCCTTTCCTTCAATTCTCCCTGCATTGTTTCACTATTCTCTCTTGTTAATAAGATAAGTATGTTAGTTAATTATTACTTAGTAGATGTATCAGAGTCAGAATTCTCCAACTTGGAAAATATTATACTCTATCTTATGAATTAATATAATGGATAAAATAGGATCATATAATTTTAACGGTATTCAGAATTAATTATATATTTGTTGACTTCATGATAGAGTAGGTCCGTTTAGTATTATTATTTAAAGTTTATACGTAGATTCTTAGGTATAATAATGTTGAATGTACGGGGCATGTATTACCAACGGGTACATGAATGAATTTGAAAAACCTTCCTCACATAGATATGAAGCGGGTACGAGTTTGAATATTTAAAAACGGGGATGTGGACGATTTAGACGAACTCGCTTCATTCCCATCCCTAACTCATATATTTGTCATCGACGTTAGATTAGTCGGCGAGAGAAAAGACCGACGGAAAGAGAGACATTTATATAAAGAGAACTAACATGTAGAAAGCAACTCGGAGAGTGTGGACACACGAAGAGACAAAAACATGTTGCTACCTATAAAGGGTTTGCAACTTTGCATCCTAATATTCCTAACCTTCCGAAGAAATTAGGAAAGAAAATGTGGTTTACTTCAGCTTTTAAACTTACATTTTATTTAAAGTGAAAATAAAAACACTCAAATCTACAGCTGTTTATTCGTTAAAAGTACATGGCTCGCTAATTTTTTCTTTTTTCTCTAAGAAAAAAAATATAATAGATCGTAAATATTCGTGATTTAGTGATATCGATCATAATTCCTTCAAGGCAATAGAGCATATATCCACCGCACCATCACCAAGTAATTTTGAGACAAATTTTCTTTTTTCCAATATCATAGAAATCAAATGCAAACATGATGACTAGCAAACATAACAACATACATATAGAATAGAGAGCTAGCAAACATGATGACTAGCTCTAGCTAATAGTACTGCATATCCATCCGTCCATACGATCCATACCCAATAGCTCCATACTAAATGACAATAACACCCTCACATTCATATATAACTAGTACTCAAGTAGCTAGAGTAAGCAAACACCGGCGAACTCTGGCCGGCGGCGGTACACCTGAGAATCAGAGGTGTGTCCCCTCCGGTGGATGGTTCCTGATGAACCGGATGGTGATGCGGCCCTCATTCCCGACGCCGCAGTGGCAAAGAGCAGCGCCGGGATCGTCCAGCAGGCGGTTGCCGAAGTAGAGCAGCATGTCGTCCGGCCCGATCTCCAGCAGGCCCATGGTGTGGAGCTTGTCCAGAATCTCCCCCCTCACGTAACCCACGGTGGCCGTCTCGTAGCAGAGGATGAAGTCGCCGCCCAGCCACGGCGGGTACCCTTCGTAGTGGAGCATCACGCGGATCGTCTTGGGCTCGATCTCCAGCAGCAGCTTCGCGGTCTCTCCTCCTCCGCCGGCGACGGCCTTGATCCCGTACGAAGCCAGCGTCCGGTCGTCGTCCATCTTCGCCTGCTGCTGCACCAGCGGCGGCAGCACGTGGAGAGTAAGCCTCCAGGCGGG